TACCTTTGCATTTACCTCCTTAAGACAGTCACTGTAATTGTGCTTTGCAAAACTGAGGGCAGCATGTGTGTAAATCCAGTATGACTCTCATCACTCTACTCCACCTCTTCAGGAAATGGAGCTGACCTGCCTTTTGTAGAGTTCCAGCCTTTTTTTTTTTTCTTTTTTTTTCTTTTTTTTTCTTTTTGTTGCACTGAACTACAGGGCACAAGTATCGACTGGCTGTTTGCTAGTATCTTCTGACATCAGGTATGAGAGCACAGTTTTGTAGCAGTGTCAGAATATAACCAAATAAAATAAAGCAAGTAGAAGTGTTACCATCAGTGTGATTTCACTGGTATCAGTGGGATTACAGCGTGACTTTGTTGTCACCATAAGCATCTCACCAGAGCCTCTGGCACCAGCTGCATAGAGGAAACAACAGACTGCAGCCAAGTGTCTTAGTAAGTCCCCACACACTTCAGAACAAGACCAAACCATTGGGATAACACAGGGTTGGGTCCCTCCGAGCAGAAACCATTCTGCTCCAGGCTCTGCCCAGCTCTCCTGGCACCAACAACCCAGACTGAGACATTCACATCCCATGGACTGGTGCTGCTCTGGGGTGAGGCAGCTTCTGCACAGACCCATGTGCTCCAGCTCCCCAACATCACTGCAGTGTCCATCGGGAACAGGAGTTTCTGGATTGATCATTATCCATGGGAACAGGAAACCTGGATGGGTACCTGTCAACCAGTGCCTGTCTCCTTCTACAGCCCAGGCCAGATTTGATCAGATTTCTGCCAAAAAATCAAGTTTGTCTCCTTGTTGCCTCATTTTCCCAGTCTCTACTATTCTGGTTAGCCTTTTCTCCTTCATTAGGGGTTTTGTAAGGCAAGGATTACCTTTGCTCAACTTCTCTGTAGAGTTCCAAAGACAAACAGGGCTCTAAATCTTTCCTGGAGGGAACAGACAGTTCATAACAAAATGACTGCCTGGAAAAAATACCATACAAAAAATACTAATAATTAAAAAATAAAATAAATCAGTGCATGAGAACACAGCCAGGAAAGCAAAACAACCTTGAGTCTCACCTACCTGAAACATGCATGAACCACAGCAAGCAGAAGTGTTAGGCCAGTTGGGGCAGGACCAGGGATGGCAGAGATGGACCAGCTGCTGTGGCATGACAATGCCAACCACCACTCTCCTCCATCTCACCTGCACAAACCGGCTAACTCTTCCATGATGCACAAAGAGCAGCATTTTATTTCACAGGAGCGGGGGGCAGTTGTTGCACAGAGACCTGCTGCAAATCAAGCTAATGACTCATCGGCCAGCACACCAGGACCCGGGGCCCTGCCGGCTCTTCCTCTTCGGGGAGCAGCAGGAGCTGCACAGTCAGCTTAATGGGTTTCCTTATAACATCACAATGTCAGTGGGCAGTACCAGAACGACTGGCCTAGATACAGAGTACTTCAAAATCCCAAGGTGAAAAAGAAAAAGTACAAATTCACTCAGAGCCCTGCTGTAATCTGCAGTGATTGTCCCATCACAGACAGTGACTCAGTCCTGGGTGACCTCCTTTAATGCTCCGTAAGGCTAATACTGAGGTTAATAGGGTTAATCTGCCTTTAATGATCAGGGCTCCCACAAAGCCAAGAAGTTTCACCACAGCCTGTAATGCAGCCATCCCATCATTGCTCTCCTCCTCCCCCCAGGCAAGGGACACTGCAGAAGGTCCCATCCCTGCTTCTTGCTGCCTGTCTCGGAGGCAGCACAGAGCCAGCTGGACACAAAAAAAACAGACCCTTGGCCATCACCGAGTGACCCAAAACAAGATGTGCAAGGTCTCAGAGCACAGCCCCAGCCCTGGCCACAGCCATCATCTTCATCACAGCACGCACATGCTGGACCCAATGGGACAAGGCACAGGATCCATGTGAGAGACAGATGTCAAAAGCCATCAAATGCTCCTCTTTCTCAAAGGCGGAAATGTCGCCAACGTTAGAAGCCTTAGAGGAGTTAAAAGGAAAGGCTTATTAGAAAGAAAACTCGTTCTGACAATCACAAAAATTGGAATCCATTTAAAATTCAAATTATGCAAATACAAGTAATTTGTATGTGCAGATCCATCACATGCCAGCACTGGGACCACAGACACATGCCACCAGCGACATGGCTGGGGGAAACCCACCCTCCACCATGCTCTGGGAGGAAGGCAGGCGTGCTCGCCTGGGGCACACACAGGAAGGGCAGCCACTCCTGGGGAACAGGGACCAAGCAGGATTTGCAGGTGCTCCCTCTGCACTGGCAGGGAAGCGGAAAGATGCCTCAGCAACACCGGCAGCACTCCAGCATGCCATACCCCCGGGGTGCAGGGAGGCAAGCTTCAAAAGTTTTCACACGAGCTGTAATAAATTCTCCCTTGGAGAAACTTAAATGCCCATGACCAACATAAAGCCCTCATTAGGCAGAGGGTCTTGTCAAATGGATGCAAGACAGCTGCGTGGCAATAGCTCTGCCCCATCTCCATCCACTCTGCCAGGTTAGGGTCCCAGATGCTTCCCCAAAAGCCCTGCAACAGGACCCTCTCCCCTCACGCAGCAATTCACAAAATAGAAAGCCAAGCAGCTGCATCACAAGGCAAAGGCAGCTCAGACTGTCAGCATGGGGAGAGCAAAGCCAGAAATCTAATGTTACGAGCTGGGTAAGTGCAGCAGCCCAGAAAAATGAATCAAGCTTTAAATATGGACTTTTCTAAAAGGTCCCAGATGAGCCACTGCAGAAAAGGCAAATCATATTCTCTCCTGTAAATGCTCTGACGTGCACAACGAGAGAGGCTCTCACCTAGCACCAGTTCCCCCACCAGCTGCACTCACAGAGCTGGGGCTGGGCAGAGCAGGCATCACGCAATGGGCCAGGGCACAGACCAACCCAGGGGAAACTGCAACACCCCCAGCACGGAGATGGAAAGTAATTACCAAACCTGGGGAGGACGTGGAGCCCAGCCCTACCTACTTGTTCTTGGAAATAAATTCCCCAGGTTGGCAGGACCTTCGAACTTAACCAGGCTCTCTAGCTGTGTGGGGAATACTGGTCCCATACTGGCCTGAGCCTCAGCTAACGAGCTCAGCTTCCTGCACAGTCGCTGCCCCAAGCCTCCACTGAAGGGCCCAGCTGAAGCTCTTTCCAGGGAGGATGAGTCCACTTTTCTCAGTAAGTCTCATACAATCACAGCCCATGGCCGAGTCTAAAGCCACATCTTCAAGCTGTTAAAACAAACCAGAAATGACTTAGCAAAAAAACCCCAAATAAACAAACAACCACACCACAAAAATCCTGCTGTGTTCCTTGATGGACAGTCAGGTCCATGGGTACACCAAGGAAAGCTAAAGGTCCCCAAAACCTCATGAAGTCAAAGACCAAAGCCAGCCAGCTGCAGACAGCATAGAGAGGTGCCAGCATGGTGCTGAGCAGGCAGCAGGCTGGCCCCATGGGCAGAGGCAGCGGGTTGCCCCATGGGGAAGGGCAGAGCCCACCTCTCTGCAGGCACCAGGATGCTGCTTGTGCTGAGAGCCCAAGTCCTGCCACGTATTTTGCACCCACCTCCACTGCAGAAGGGAGGCTGTGGGTGACAGGTCCCATGGAGATACTGAAAGACCATCTCTGAAAGAGGGGGGGTCCCCAACATCACAGCAACCTCCTCTCCCTGCCACTCTCCTGGGTGCAGCTTGGGGCTGCAGATCCAGGCTGAAAGATAGATAAAGCAGACATACGTGCCTTACCCCACAGCAGGATTGCCTCATCTTAAAACACCTCCAAAATCTTTCAGCTGCTCACTGGACACCCCATCCCACTTCTGCTCGTCTCCATCCCTGAGGCTTTCACCTGCTTCCTGAGCCCGAGGCAGCAGCAGCTCCCACAGACAGTTGACGGGTGCCGCTGGCAGCACTGTGGTTGTGACCAGCTCCCCCAGACTCACCCCGACGGGCATCCACTGCTGCTGCACATGGAAAAGCATCAACGTGCTGCTGAGACCAGAACTGTTCTTCCAGGGGGAAAAGGAGTGGTTATGGTCAACAGTCCATCCAAGCAGAAGCGGAGAGGGTGACCCCCAAAACCACACCCATACAGCAGCGACTCGGCCCAGGGGACACCAGCAGCAGCACCAGTCTGTGTGACCTGGCAGGGGGGATCAGCCCCTCCTCCGGGCTAGAGGAAAGTTCATGACTTCAGGGACTCCGAAGCCCACAGCAGAGCGAGCACCACTGCCTCAGCCAGCGGCTCTCAGCGGCACTTTAGGTTGCTCGGGTGCCCACCCCCCCTCTGCTCCCATTGTACCAATGCTCTCACCCATTTCCAACCAACACCAAGAGCTTTTCAGCACCAGGACACCCGAGCCCTCATTACAACCCCAAGGCCAGTAACAAGGCAGGAGGAAGGCCATCTGAATCCCTATATCAGGTGTCTCTGGGAAAGAGAAGAGGCAAGGCCCATTAAACATTGATTAGAGTCTCCCACAGCTGTGGCACAACCCTGACGTGCCCCAGCTGGTGACCAACCCACCACCAGGATGCTCCAAAGGGCCAGAAAGGGCTGAGCTACCCCCAAGTCTCAGCACCGGCTCACTGCTCACCCCAGCCCCTTGCTGTGCCCAGTTACTGGCCCAGGGCAAACTCTCAAGAAGACCCAGCTGCTCATGCATGTGAGGCAGAGGACAGGCAGACTCATTTCCTACCTTCAATTTGGTTTCATACTTTGGACAGCAGCGCCCAGAGGTGAGGCACTTGCCCCACACATCACCCACAGAGCACCAGCCACCCGGCAAGAAGGAGGCAGGGGCTCTGCCACGCTGTGGGCAAACTCAAGCTGCTGCCACCATCTGCTCCACCAGGCTGGAGCAGCCTCTTTTTCTGTTGTTTCGGTAATGCTGTGCATAACAATAGCTCTCTGACATGTCAGTGTTTTTCGGAAGCCACGTGTGTGAACACAGTGGGGCCAGACACCCCGATACTCACAAACTGCCGCCGCAGCTTGGTCTTGACGCGCTCAGCCTTCGTCTCCACCGGGTGGACGGCATAGCTGAGGGACCCCAGGTGGTTGTCGACAGACAGGCTCTTCCTCATGTAGAAGGAGCGGGTGCGGAAGTAGCTGAACGGGGCATCCTCCACCGCTGTGCCAAGCTGGGGGGTCCTGGGGGGGTCCGTGCAGTCGTCCTCCAGCCGCCAGGCTTCCCCTGGGGAGCAGAAGGACATGCCACCCCATCAGAGCTGCAGCCCGAGCCATGGCCTGCCCCTCCAGCCCACTGGAGGGGATGCCCAGTGGATAGCCTGGACGCCTCTGCCCATCCCACCCCCCCAGCACATCACGGGGTACAGGTGCTGCAGAGCCCCCTCCCCAGCGTGCGTCAGAGGGCACATCCCTGCCTCAAGACCCTGCGTACCCCTGGCCCCTGCCTGCCCCGGGCAACAGCCGCTGCTCCCACCGTGTCCAGCCTCATGTCCCCACAGTCCCAACATCTTCCTGTCAGGAATCGGTCAAATACAGCTGAGCACAATGATGACCTGGCCAGAGTCAGGGCCTCCAGGCACCCCTGCAGTATAAATATTATTAATCAGAAAAATCAGCAGACCAAAATCCTAATACTTAAAAACTTCCTGCTATTTAACTCTAGTAGGGTTATCCCATTTAAAAGGGTCATTTATAAAGAAATAAAAAATGTCACTTGTTCTTCATCACTCCAAGTCCAATCAGACATTCCACACTAAAAGAAAATGGTTTGGGGGTGTGGGGGGGTGTTAAATAATAAATAAAGAATAAAAAATTCCACAATCAGAATCACACATATATTTTTGCTGCTGTCGTTAATGCTACACACCTGTATCAGATCTCTCTTATGCAGGTACTCACATGCTCTGTACTTGGTGATGAGAATAAATCTTGCTTTGTGAATGGAAAAACTGAGGCACTACTACTGTTTCAAACTGCAGAAGGATTTACTGCCACCTCCTTCTCCAGAAAACTCTTTATGGCATGGCCAAGAGCAAACCAACAGCCAGCCCAAGGACAGAAAGCAGACCTCTGGTCTCCTCAAGCTCCACCAGCCCATCGCCAGCAGCAAAACCTCACTGATGCTGAGAAAGCAGCGGCAGCAGAGGACAGTCGGCACCCTGCAGAGCTGGTGCTCACAGGGTAGGACTGACCATATTTCATGGCAACAGGAAGGAAAAAGAGCCAAAACACAATAGGAAATGTCTCCATAATATCACCGCTCTGCTCTTTTCCAAGCAGCCTGGATGCCATATGCCAAGCTCACCTTTACATCTGGACTTTGTCCTGCCTCCCACTCCCCAGCCAAAATGAATTCTCAATAGCCATAACAAATAAACAGTTAAACCCTCGTGCTCAATTCTTGTCAAAATCATCAATTATTAGCCACTGCAGACCAAAAGGGCATTTCACATGATTGTCTTCAGAAATTCTCCCCCTCCTGCAGCCTCTTTCCAAAGCAAAATAATTCACCTGTTTTCTGAAAAACCCAGCATCCTTGGGCATGAATGACCATGACCCTGCTCTGCCAGGGCTGAGGAGAGAAGTACTTCCAGAGTTTAAAGCAAATAAAGAAAGGCCTTAAGGTAAAAACTAGTCACAGAGTGAGTGAAGTCTAGTTTACCCGGCAAGGCTGTGGGTTTGACATTGAGTATGATGAGAGACAGGTTGGACACTGCAGCCTCAGAGCAGCAACCGGCCACTCCATCTTCTGTGTCTCAACAGAAGCGTCTCTTCCCCAAGCTCCCTGAGCTTTTTAAGTGTAAAGACAGATCACTGTGTGCGAAGTCCTGCCAGTGGATCTGAAGGCACCAAATTGAAACCATCAGAAGTGAGAGGGCAAGAGGGAAGAGAGAAAGGCAGAGAGCTTAAAAAAGTGAACAAAGAGGCAACCTGGAGCACAGCACTACCTAGCCTCACATCTTTTTTTTTCCCTCCCCTACTTTCAATTTAATAAGCTGCTTCTGCTCCTCTCCAAATGTCAACTCATACAACACAGGAACTGCTGTTTGAAAGCTGTGATTATTCAACGCACAAACACGTCAATCGGAGCCCAGATCCAGACTGCCACCACGAGAGAGCATTGCTGCGGGGACGCAGCAGCAAACACCGCGATGCAGGCACTGACCCTGGGAGGAGACCCACCCAACACACAGGAAAAGTGCACATGGAAGGAGGAACCAGCCCCGGTGCCCCCACGCCCACCTGTGACAGCTCAGCCACCACCCACACCACGCTGCGTCCCCGAGGCTGCCTGCCCCCGGCCCCACAGCACGCCCAGGCGCAGCCACCACTGCCCTGGTGCCCCAGGTGAGGGATGGTCCGGGCTGTGTGATGAACACAGCCCAGCTGCCAGGGCACAAGGGAGAGGACAGCCACCTGCCGTACGCACTCCTCTGTACAGGGCACCCCTCCCAAGGATGAGGAGTCATCATTTCAACCCTCACAAACCAACTGGATCCCCTTAATCTCACTTATCCCGGTTTCCCAAGGACTTTGCTGCTCCTGGTCTCCTCTCTCCAAGGGGCTACAAGCAGCTGCATCCTCCAGCGCAGTCCTGGAGCTGGACTAGATGCTGAGCTGCTCCCTGGCCTGCCTGAGAGGTGAGATCCTCCCCAAACCTCTCCCCAGCTTGAGCAGAAGGGCTACAGGGAGCCACAGCATACAAAGCCAGGACCTTGTCGACCCCAAAAAGCTTTTCTACATGCTGAAAGAGCTTGTTCCCAATTTTTACCAAACAAGTAAATCAATGATCAAGCTGAGAACAGTCAGAAGTGCAAGATCAGTAAGTCCCTGGAGAGGAAATGCTACAAAAATGAGCAAGCCCAGAAGCTGGAGGCCAATCATCCTTATGCTCTTCTGCCTTGAAGCTGCTCATCTCTCTGCCACCCAGAGCTATGCCCAGTGACATCAGCACCTCTAAAAGTTTAACCATCTTCTTGGGCTTGGCAGTAATGATTGCTGGAAAGTCTTTCATCTTTCTGGATCTAAGTGTTGGGGAGGACATGCACCGAAGGATAGAGGGGGCAGCAGGGACAGAGACCCACTGCCTCTCCAGGACTACTCCTCTCAGCACAGACAGGCTAATCCCTCAGCTGCTGAGAGCATCACTAAAGGTTTTCCTCAGCACAGGCTGGTGTAAAAAGGCTTGTCTGTTCCTTTTGCAGGGGGAGTGGCAACATTGCCCAGGTATGAGGCTGAAGCCTCAGAGCCAGGAGTCTTCCTCTCGTTAAACAGTGTGCCACCAGGGAGAAGAGCACAGGAACCAGTACCACTTCCCAGCTGAAAGCACAGGATGGGCATCTCTGCAAGCAAAGCTGTTTCCAGAGGGGCCCGTATGCCCACACTAAATTCAACAGAGATGCAAGATTGACACTCATGAAGACGTTGTGGAAGGCCACCCAAAACATCCCTGGGAGTACTAGGATAATTAACTCCAGGGTCCTGGTCTAAGCTCAAATTCAACCGCTTCCTTTCAGCTTCTTTCTTTTCATCCCATGGCAGTAACTCCCAATAAGGTCACACAACTGTGCTACAAGTTAGCTTCTTCCCAGCTTCACAGTGGGGCATGGAGACAGTTTCTGAAGAGCTCAGCATGCTGCACGACAGACAAGGGAAAGAGGAGGTAGCGAAGAGCTCCAGCGTTGTCTGCTCCTTCCAGGTGCAAGGCCAAGGGAACTGCAAGGCGTCAGGCATGCAAAACACACGCAGCGACACATGCAGGCTGGCAGGTAAGAGCTGCAGGCAACCAAAGAAACCCCTGCCTGCTGCAGAACGAAGAGGAGAGAGAGCAATGAAAAGTGTTTCTTAGGCCCACCCCTAAAACTCCACAGGGACACAGAAGGGCAGACAAACAAAAGCATTTCTCTGTGCTGCCAGCACGTGTGAAATCTCTTGGCACACTGCAAAACGTGACACCAAGTGGATAATAGTTTGGATAAGGCAGACACTGCCCATGCCCCTGTTCAGTCAAGCTCCATTTGCTCTTGCCTCCCCCTCACCACATCCCAAGCTCACGGCCGTTACCAGGCAAGGGGGTGAAGGATGGAGACAGAGAGCTCAGGGCCTGTCCCAGCTGACTACACCACCACTTGTTGTGGCTTACCCCAAGGGGAACACAAAACCAGACCAACAGGAAACCCAGGCCTGTTCATTGGCCCAGCCAGGTGCCTGGCTCGCTAAATGAGAAGGAAGGTTGGTTTTGAGAGAAGGAGAAGGTTTGGCAGGCTCAGTTCCTCTGTCCATCCTTGGGGTCCAACTTCCCTGACAGGCACCTTGGTGTCTGCACAAGGACCTGCACAGGAGTTGTGGTGCCACAGCGTGACAATCTCCTGTGACCTTCCCCAGAGTGACAGGGCACTCCCCTCCTGCAGCACTGCCACGCTGGAACCATGGGACACGAAGCAAAAAGCTGGGGAAGACATCCCAGCGGTCAGATAAGGATGTCACGTCTCATCCACACCACAAACAGCTTCTCCACCTTGCCTGGCAGCTCCTCTGTGGTGGCCGCCAGGGCAGCAGCAAGCCAAGGTGAGGTTTCTTCCCCACAGAGCAAGCAAACTCTCCCACAAACAGCCCCGCTCCTGCCAAAGTCTCACATCCCTGCAGGTGAGCCTCTTCCTGAGGTGGTTTCGGCCATGTGTCCCCTGATGCAGCTGCAGGTGGTGGCACCTGCTCAAAGCAAATTCACAAGTTCTTTAAAGAAAGGATCTCCTCTCCCTCCTGACACACTCCAGCCCAGCTATCATTCATAAATACTTGTGGGAATCCCGCTTTCCTCATCAGCATACCGGGGCTTGTTAACCTCCTGCGCCACGTGCTGTTCCACTCTTGTCCTGCTGTCCAGATGTCAACACACTGCTAGCAGTGCAATCTCTTTTTTTTTCCCCTCCATGCTAGCATGCTGATAACTTTAATGAGTAGCTAATTAGCAGTTCCTAACCTAACTGAGTATCAAGGAGCCAGGAAAAGCACCTGGGAGGATCTGGACAGAGAACAACTCATTCATTCATCCAAGGCTCTGGCTGTGGAGGAAGTCTTCCAACCTATGAGGGTTTTTACACACCTCCTCTTCTTGGCATCGTAGGCACCTTCCAGCCTACGAATAAAGAAACACCCTGAATACTTGTTACATGCAATCAGGGCTCTTCCTTACACCCACTGTGCAGGGAGGGCTGTGCACAGGGTTTGCTCTAGGGTGGCTGTTCTGCAGCGTACCAGCATGTCTGCACTCACATGAGAGGAGGCGTTTGCAGCAGAAGGTGATGAGGTTTGCAGTGGGTCTGACTCACACGGGGACTTCATCCCATGGTCCAACACCAGCCTCCCACTCCCTCCCTCTGCCCCCAGCACAGCTCCCTGGAAGCACCAGCACACCAACCAGGGACCTGCCAGGTGTAGAAGGGTGCCCTGGATGCTGTGCTCTTCACAGTGGATGCTCTCTCAGGCACAAGTCCTGCAAAGCCCTTTGTTTTGCCCTCTACCAGGGGCAGATCTCCACCATTTATTCAGGTCTGTCCTTGCAAATCATGATGCAGAAAACCCGGAGGGCTCACAAAACCTCAGAAGCTATCTTCCATTCCAAGCAATGGAGTTGCCTGCAATTACCTACCCATTCACAAGTGCCCCAACCCTTCACGTCCCCAGGACCCAGCTACACAAGCGTTCCCAAAGGAATTCCTCCCATACCAAGACCCACTCTGACAACTTGATGGGCTGAAAAGAAAACCATGGGTCCCACACAGAGCGGAGAGCAGTCGCTTGGGTACTGCAGCGCACACAGGAGCACCACTGAGACAAGCGCAGCAGGATGGGCTCAGCGACGTGCCAAGATCTGCTCTGTGCACAACTTTCAGGAGAATTAGTAGCACCAGGAAATGAAACACAGCCTGCAGAGCATTAAAATTAATCCAGGGTTTGGACAGCTGCTCTGCTGGGTACCTCACAGTGATCTGACTGCAAGCAGGTTAAAAAAAAAAAACAAAAATAAAAAAAAAATCCAAGGATGCTGTTTGAATGGAGCTGCTTTATGTAAGGATTTTATTTAGCACTGGATTGTCAGCCCAGGCTTGCAGGCCTTATCTTTGTTTCAGGGCTAATAATCCCTTTCTTTCCACATCATTTTTATGGCCCCAGTGTAATTCCACTGGCACCAAAAGCACTGAAACACTTTGGCCATCAACGGTTTTGCCAATAAACTTGTTCAGAGCAGCTGGCCCAAGCATATTAGTATCATCAGGAGCAGCACAGGAGTAGAACATGATAAAACCCCTCAGCTGACCTGAAGGCACACTACCAGGCTGGGGAGTATTTGCTACAGCAAATCCCCACCCCAGGCCAGGTCCATGGAAAAGCACAGCAGTGCCGTGCTCTGGCACCACTCCCAATGGGGATCAGCAATGAGCACCCTGAAGCCACTTCACACCACAGGAAAGAGGCACTTTGGGCTGTTGCAGAGGCCAAAGAGTCACTGAGGCAGCAGCTCACCCCAGCACATGCAGCCAGGAGATACAGCTCACCCAGAGGCAGAGGGCTCAGAGCATCATCTCCCTGCACTGGGCTTTCATGAGCCAACTCCACTTTTTCATCAATGGAATATGAAAGATGGGGAGATTTAAGTAACAGACTCAAAGGCTCAGAGAGAGGCAAAAAACCCCTAAACCTCATCAAGAAGGGCTGGTTTTGCAGCAGGATAAACCTCACACAGACTGGAATTGCATTTATTTTGTTATTTGTGCCCCTGGAGAAGCAGGAAAGATTTGCTAGAATTTTTCAGGCCCTCTGGCAGAAAAGGCTGGAAGCTCACACTCACCGGTAGAAGGGACTGTGCAGCCTTTCTGGCAGTCAGAGCCCGAGTGCTTCTTGTAGGGCTTCTGCTCCGGCATCTCCTCCCTGTACGCCGTGGAGTCGAGGAGGGGAAGCCTGCTCAGGACCGGGGACTGCGGGATGCTGGGCAGCGTTCGGGACTTCCCCAGGAGCGGTCGCTGCAGCTTTCTGTCCAGAGACCTTGAGGGGAGAAAACACAGGGCATAGCCCTTTCAGGAGGTGGGATGGCCTCTTCAAGCCAGGACCCTTCTGTAACACACAATGCTGGACCACTGGACCGAGAGCATACAGTCCTTCCCAACACCAAGCTGCACCCTTCGTTTGCAAAGCTGCTACTCTTTCAGTAATGCCTTCTCCCTTTGCCAGTGTATTTTAATTAGAATTTTCATCTTGAGCTCCAAGCCACAATCAGCATAAACAGCACATAAAGCATTCTAGCACCCACCCCACCTCAAAACTCACAAATAATCAGAATTAAGCAAATAAAGAAACCAGAGGGTTCAAGACTGAAGTGACACAAATTGCCTTTTAAGAGAGTAAAAACCCCACTGAGCATCATCTGAGACACCAGAATGCTTTTTGTGGTGGGAACCAAGTCACTCAAGGGTCCCAGGAACATGTGCTGTACGGAAGGTCAAAGAATCAGTCAGGTTGGAAAAGACCCTTGGGATCATCAAGTCCAACCATCAGCCCTACTCCACAACTCCCATACACCACATCCCCCAACATCTCATCTAAATAACCCTTAAACACATCCAGGGATGGTGACTCCACCAGTCACCAGGTCCAGACTAGAGCAAGACAGACTCAGGCAGCAGGCACTGTAGAGTCCACAAAGGTGTCATGAAACATGTAGAAACCCAAGTTCAAGGTCTCTGTGGGGTCAAAACTCAACTGACTCTGATGAGAGGGCTTAAAAGCTGCAGGGGTGACCAAGACACACATCAGCACTACCATCTCCTCCAAAACCCCAGAGTCTGCTGAGCCCTGTAGTGGGGCATGGGAGCAGGTTCCCTTGTCTCCTGCTTCACCCCACAGCCTCCCCCAAGGGATGGTCCTCAGGTCTCATCCTTGGGGATGATGCTGGCCCAGGCCACGAGGCAAAGATCCCAGAAATGTGATAAAAAGGAACAGATGCCCAGCACTGTCGTGGTGTGAGGAGAGGCGGAGGGATCGCCCTGTGCCTGGCGAGGGCTATGAGCTGGGATCACCCCGAGGCTGTTCTGTGTTCCCCACCATCACAGAGCCCACACCTGTGCCTGGACAGGGCTCAGCAAAGGGCCCCTCCTCACACCAGACTGTTCCTGAATCTCATACTGAATGGTACAAAACCTTCAAATTTCCATCCACAATTCAATTCTTAGCTGGTTTATGCTCATTTGTTCTTGTGCCAATATTAACCTTTAGCTTAAATAATTATTCCCCCTCTCCAGTGTCTGCTCCCATGATTAATTTCCTTTACACCACAGTCACAGCCCCTTTCGGCCTGCGTTTTTCTAGGCTGATTAAGGCAAATTCTTTCAGCCTCCTCTCACAAAATGAGCTTTCATTCCCCGTGGTTGTTTCCACACCCTTTGCTTGCCCTCCCTCCAGCTCGGACCCTGCACCCTCCACCCATCCCAGAGCATCTCACAGAGCTGAGCTCCTGGTGCAGACAGCAGGGCGAGCGCTCTGCCTCCCTGCACACCACAGCACTAAATTTTATCCCATTTCCACTAAGCTGGTCCTCAAGGTCACACAGAGAGAGTCTATCATGTAAAAGCTCCTGATCCTCATCAGCAGCCTGTCACCACTATGTTTATTATGATCGTTTTTCACTCCCTTTACAAATGTAACAGCAGCTCCCAACTAGTGCTGGCGTCTGATGTAATTCACAGGTGAGCAGCAAGGCAGGGGCCAGGCAGAGCTCCGCACTGTGCAGTCATCTCCTGCGGGATGGTTATGCCTGATGGCCACAGCAACGGACACAGGCAGCACTCGGGTTCAGGGCAGGAGCCCCAGGTACGACACAGCCCCTGTGCTCACCATCAGGGCCCCTTACCCAGACCCTAAAAGATGCGTCCATCAGAGCAAGGTTGGGGACCATGTTTTGACGTTTAGGTTCAGAAATTTATTAATTTCTGCATTAATTGCATTCACCCTTGATTCCTGGATGATGCTGCTCTGCTCCACAGAGCTGCTGCTGAGCAGCTGCAGGGACAGCACTGCCCCAGCAATGCAGAGGGTGCTGCAGCTGCAGAGACACACAGCACCATCCTGCCCACTCCAAGCCCCATGCTTCACTTGCCTCGACATGAAAACAAGCTATGCCAGGAGATACAAAGCCCGAATTAGCATCCTGAGTTGTTTCTATTTCAGTAAAGCGTATGTACGTCTCATTGTAACACATTTCACTGGCACAAGACAACAGGGATGTAAGTTAACACATCGCTGTGCTGCATAAATGAGTCCTGGGCTCTGCCAGAGTTCAAAATATTCCTTTTTTCTTGCATAAATCTCGGTGCTTTAAAACACACCTGCTTATAGCTCCATCACCCGCAGAATGGCATTAGCATTTTAAGTGCCAACTTCCCTTTGTGCCTACAGTTCCACTCACACGGATCACATGGGGGTAAAAAGGGAAGAATCCACACCCTTAGAGGAGCAATTGTTAAGCTGCATAGCTACAGACAATGATTTATATCAGAAAGAGCAAAGCAACTAGAAACCCCTTTAGATCTGAAATCTGAACTTGAATTCCCACGCACACTCTGGTTCTGTGGATTTACCATCCTATGCACAACTCCAGAGACCTCAGTAGCAACTGTCAGCAGGGAAACTGATGCCACGGGGAAATCACATTGCATCTACATATGCTTCCCAGGAAGGCTCCACAGCTAGCCGCTATCAAGGATGCCACATCCCATTAGTAAAGATCCCTGATGGATTGTAAAGCTCAATTAGAAAAGCCATAATAGACCCTGTTACAGTCTATATTTAGCTGCTGTTCAGCATTTTGGTAGAAAGGAGAGCACATAATCAAGTCTTGACAAGGGTGGAAAAATCCTTCTGGCTCCATGCAAGAGCTCAGGCAGGAGCGCAGCGACAGCTCCATCAGTCCCAGTCCGCAGCCAGATGGGGAAATGTGAGAACAGTCACCAGGGCTGGTCCCCTGCCACCAGCCCAGGGGAGAGCTGCAGGGCGATAGCTGGTTGTGCCAGGCAGGGTGCAAGCCCAGCAGACTGCTCCAGCATCCCCCACCCCAGCCCCTGCCTGTGGCACCCAGGGAACACGGGTGCTACTTCCCCAGGCTTTTATTGAAAGCAAACAGGATAAAAAAAAAAAAAAAAAAAAACCATGACAAAAAAAAAAGGAAAAAAAAATGGGGGGGCAAAACACATCTCAAAAGCTGCAAAGCTGAACCCTGTGTCTGGTGCCTTCCCCATGGCGATGTCCTTACTGGATGGCTTCTCCATCACCCCAGGGAGAAAGGGGAAGGGCTGAGCAGAGATAAAGGGAAGGGACAGAGAAAAGGTTGATGCAAATTAAACCAGAGAAAGTCAGATCCTCCTGCAAGCAACTGCACACACACACACACACCCCACCCCACCCAGCCTGTCCTCCCTGCTTATTTTGATGTGGGAGAACTGCTCTCCAAAGGGCACTTCCCAGCCCAACCTAGAGAGGACAGAGTCTCCAGCTTACCCAGGGGAAGTATGGAAGAGTTACCACACCAGGCAAAACCAGGACAGCAGAAATCCAGCAACACAACAGAGATAGCAAGCAGGAGGGGAAAAAAAACCCTTAAACTCACTACTCCCACAATCCAAAAAGAACCCCAATAAACCTCACCGATCTACACAATTTCTCAGAGAACTGAGCAAGAAAACCTTCCTCACATCTCCTGGAAATGCCTGAGGATGATGAACCTCCAGAGATGTCCCATCCCTGGGAAGAGGGAAGCCCTTGTCCTGCCACAGCACTCAGTCCCAGCAGCTCTCAGTCAAACCCAAATGTGCACTGTGCTAATCCATCTCCCCCCAGCCTTCCCAGAGCCAGGCTGCTCATGGAAAATAGGAAGGAGAGAAGGAGGTTAAGCCAGGGAGCAAGGCTAAAGAGGGAGAAGGGCAGAGCCGGGCACCAGATGATCCGGACTTTGCTTGCCGGCTCCAAAGCTGTGGCTTAGCGACAACCTAAAATGCAAGGCGATTTCCAAGCTCCAAGGGGAACAATGCACGTCTCAAAGAGCTCACGGCCCCAAAACACAAATAAGGATTCAAAAAAAGAAGATTGAGAAGCCAAATGGCTGCTGCTCCTCCTGCAGGACCGCACACCATTTCACAGGTAATTGTGGGTGGCCTCTCCACAGCCCGGTCAATTAGTTCACTAAATCTGCCCAGCAAAGGCAGCTTATAAAGCTGAAGGTTTGGGGAAGAACGGCTAAATGAGGTACTGAGATTAGCCCGGGACTGACGGAGGATGGCAGGGATAGGGGCCAGGAGAGCCTGGTTATTGCAAAGGGACACACTCCCAGATCTTCCCAGCTGGTGGCTGCTCCTGCCTGTAACACGCTGCTCAGTCTGCTCCTCCGAGGAGGTGTAACTTAGCAACCTGACCTTATAAACTCAGCAAAGGTTTCAGCTGGATTCGGGAAAATGAGAGATGCTACAAGCCAGGAGGAGCAACTACCCACCCCAATCCTCTCTTGGACTGGGGCAAGGACAGATGCACCACTGCTCGGGGAAGAGGATGAAGGCGGTGTGCACCTCCTCTGCAGCCTGGACCACACAGCCTCTTACCACAAGCAGTGGCTGCAAAATTGAAAAAAAGAAACAAAACACCCACATTCATTCCCTGAAACATCTTGCAGAGACCCAACTGGGTATAAGGCGACAGGCACAAGGGGACAGCACATATTCTGAAGAGCTCACAGCCCCAAAAGGCAAACAAAGACTCAAAAATTCCTGGAGAAGCCAGGGCAGGACGAGGTTTCCCAGCAGTGGCTCAGCTCCATGGTGCAGGGTTCATCTTTTACTGCCATCCCCATGGTGCCTCACCCCTCCTCCTGTCCATGCCCAGGGCAGAGGCAGAGCCTGCGGGAAGCGGCTGGGAGCAGAGCCGGACCACGGCCACCCCCCAGCCCCGGCTGCGGGCCGGGGCCAGCCCAGCTCCCAGAGCCCGGAGCACGGCACGGCTGTGCC